GACAAAGGGCCGGGTGCGCGCGAGGTGGGGCTGCAGGGGCACCGGAGACCTCCTCCCGGCCATAGGGGCCGACTCCGGGCTGCGATGGGGGCTGAAGGGCATCGGCATTCGCGCAGTGTCACCCGTGAAGCGGATGGGAAGAGAGGTTTTGGAGCTGCTGTCTGCGAGGCAGGCTGCTGGGTGGGAGGGCAGGGTGAGTTGAGGTGGAGCGCTCTGGGCAAGCTGTCCTCCGGCTGGGAGAAAAGCACTGCCACCCGCTCCACTTGTTTTTGATAGGTTTTTGCATACACTGTATGTGCTTCCTTCGCGTTCTCAACATTAATTTTTAACCCTGCACACGTGATTGTGAACACACCTTAGCAAGCAAGAAAAGGTCAGCAAACACGGGCTGGGGGATAGGTTTTGTTTCTCTGGGGGCTGTACTGGTGGCCATGTGCTTCCCCTGGGGTGCTAAACCTAGAAACTGCTCTCTGACCAATCAACCGTTGTTGTAAGCAAGTATTTCTTCATCCTGAAAGCATCCTTCTAAGTTAACTTTTTTTAAAGTTAATTTTTAAATAAAACTTTTTTGTTTCTAAAAACTTTTCGAAAGAGAGGGAGAAGATATTTTAGAATAAGCAACAGCACGACTGCCCTCCAGAATACAAATTAGGTTTGTTTTTAAACATCTCCTGAGAAAAGCAGCTGATAAAAATCCTGTTTGTTTTACTATCCTTTGGGCGACACCCAGGAGAATTCAGAAATAGCCAGTGGCTAGGGGAAAACCTGAGGTCTTTCAGTATGCATATTGGAATAGGGTTTGCTTCTCTCAGCTCCAGAAACTGAATTTGAGGTATTCCTGTGTGCTCCTCAGGACCAGGTAGGCCCTATGCTAGAATTGTCTTCGCGTGGCCCTGCGGGGAAAGGTTGATTTACAGGGGAAGTCAGCCATAGCCAAAATTCCAATGGCAAATTATCATCAGCATATTTAGTGCGTATTGTTTCGAGATCCTACTTGTGTATGAGAACATTTAGAACAGGTTTTATAACTATTTTAAGTAGTCCCAGGAAGGGTTTGGAAGTGGAATGGGAAGAAAGAACTTTGTAAATGCTACCGAAACCAATACATTTACTTCTGAAAGTGTATGTGATCATATACATACCATCTGCATGTGAAGCATTCTTCACTTGTACCTTTCCCACCTAAATAAAATCAAGAGGTGACTTTTTATGCTTTCCTCTACCTGAGCTGAGAAGGAAGTGTATTTCCAAGGTAACTAATATGGATCTCATCTTTGTAACACTGAGCACTATTGAGGTAGATGGTGAATGTGTGAGTGTTTCTCTTTCCGAGCCTGAGTGCCACAGGACCCATTACTGTGTCTGAGAACATTACTGGGCCCAGTCTGCAGTGTTTAATGATCTCAGGTTCTCCCGAACATCTCTCTCATAGATCCTTTACAATTTAGTCCACCAGGCATTATTCATGCACAACTCTCCCTGACTCTGGGGAATTTGTTTTTCGAGGTCTCACCATTGACAGTTTCATTGATTTTGTTTTGTTCTCCTGCCAGGTTGTTCGTAGAGTCGCTAAGGTAGCTCATTTTGCCTAAAATCTGATAAGAAGTTAAATATCTTTTGACCACAAGATTGTGTTTAGAGTTGCTGGGCTTTATAAGTGCCCTGAAGTTTCCTGCAGAAGACTGCTCTTAAGCCATTATGTGATTAGGTCTGTTTTGCTTTAGCAAGTTCTTTGACTTTGGAGAATGAGAGCAAGCCTGGCTGCAGAGTATTCACAGATCTTTGTTCATTTTTAGGTGTTTGCTTTAGGTATTAGCATGATTGCACTGTTGAGTATCCATGGCTGTAGATTGCATGAAGACCCTTTGTCATCTTTCTTTGGTTTCCAAAACTAGCATCTTTACACACTTTGCTGCAGTTTTTTTCCGTCCATACCACTTATGGAGATCACAAGAATTCTTCCATCGTCCAATAGAGAGTGGATATTGGAAAGATTAGGCTTTCCCTCACAGCGCTTGTTTGCTATAGGAATTAAATCATTTGAGGAGACCTGTGTCATTGCAGTTTTGAAGACCAAAGTGCAGAACAAGAGATGGTAGTTGCAGTGCTCTGTCTCCAAAGATGCTGTTGTTGTCTGCACGTGGGTAATACACAAAGTCCCTCCACCATAAGATCATTAGCGAGTTTATAAAGTGACAACATACTCATAAAGTATAAATATCCTGAGATGCTGGACAAGGAGACAGTGGCTCGTACTGCATGATGGAGCAAGGAACATGTAACCCCCTTGTGATTCAGATACCCGGAGTTGGAAAAGGAATACAGTTTCTGTATTACTAAGCAGGGTGAAAACATATTTTCTTACCTTAATTTTCCATTCTGTATTGCCATTTGGGTGAGGTGATTAATGCATGAAACCACATAGTTGAAAACTGAAAGATAATGTATTTATATGAGGAATCTTTATCCGACAAATGCTTATTCCTAGAAATGAGATGTGGTTGACCTAAATTTTCTTCATCCTGATTTAGGTATAATGACAATAATTTGGAAACCTTTCATTCCTTTGTTTAAGGTGTGAGTTCAGACATCTCTAGAAAAATAAAGTGATCTATTTGTAACAGAAAATTCAAAGTTATGTATCTCATTTGTTAGCTTTCCACTTGGGTTGAGAATGTCTTTATTACATTTATTTACATCCTATGGTATTTATATTTAAATACATTTATATGAGCCTAGTACAGGCTTACCTAGAGTTTATAAAATTGGAAACAATTATTTGTTGGGCTGGGGATGTAGCTCAGTGGCACTGTGCCTTCCTGACAAGCATAAGGTCCTGAGTTTGATCACTGGTACCAAAAAATAATATATTATTATTACTTGTCTGTGGGAAATTGTTCTATTTTCAACTGAGTTGACAAATTAATATAAAGCCTGCCACCTAACTTTGAAATATCACAGTTATCATTGGTTGTTTTTCATGGGAATGTTCAGGATAGAGTGTAAATGCTTCAGAAGAGGCCCTAGTAGACAGCAGAACTGTTTCCTCTGGCATGCTTTTGTTTGAGACCGTCCTTGAGAGCATTCACAGGGCGCCATCCCTCCATTCAGTCCTTGAAAGCTGCCCTCTGCTGGAGTGGTTGGTTTCTCTTGCAGATTGATCATAAACTCTTCCCTCCCAACAAGGTATGACATTAGCATGATAAGTTTTCATTTTCCTTTTCCCCTATTCCTCCAACCTCTGTAATTCTAAGAGTAAATGCTTCTGAGCAGTAAATCACGGTACAGTACAGGTACTATTTATAAACATTGTCTCTGACTTGGACTATTTGATCCTGGAAAATTATAAGAGAATCCTAGATCTATTGAGACCAGTTAAAGGGATCATCTGGTTCAGATTGCTATTCAGAGCAATATCTAAACTGCCCTAAATGTGTGATACAGAAGAGAGGAACTTAGGAATCTTGTAACTTTAACACAGGAGTCAGTATAAACCTCCTTGAGGTCTTGAGCACAGCTTTCTCTCCATTCTGATCAGGCATTTAAAACACAGTCAGCATGGAATAATTTGACTGGCATGAGTTTCTAAAAGCCTGCATTAGTTTCTAAATCTGAATTACAGTTTTTTGACATAACTGTCAGAGGCCCATAGAAACTTTAAGCAACACACAGAATTCTATCAGAACAAAGTCTTATCACACAAGTTAATATAGTTGGAAAACAATATCGGAAACTTATAAGCAATGTTTCAAAGTAACAGAAAGCAGTGCATTTGTAAGTATCCAAAAAGTTGATTCTAAAGGTTAAAACTTCACCCTTCCTTACTAGTTTAGCAGTCTTTTTCTCATAGATGCCTGACTTCTTCACTCCTGGATAAATAACCAGAATTTAAGTTGTAAGAACTCTGAACTAATCATATTCTCTCACACAGCAGAACCTTTAGCATTTTCTAATAGCATTATTTGATTTGTAAGTGAGATCAAAAGTTCTTGGCACATAGTTATGTATCATCTTCAAATAATGAATTTGCCAATCCACTATTTCAGTTTTTGGATAAATTGATAAAGCTAAAGGCAGATGCCACTAGTACAATTTTGGTATCATTAATAATTTGAAATCTGTACACTAAAGATTTAATTAACATGCAGATTTCAGATTTATGATTAAGGATCCATGTTCTAGAATTTAGATGACTATATGAGCATATTATAAGTATCACATTCTTCATGCACATTGAAAATGTTATATGCCACTTATGATAATACATAGCATAATACTATCTCATCTCTTTCCCTCAAGAATCATATTTTAAAAACAAGAACACTTGGCATCTTGGACCTGTGGATTCCGTTTCCTTTCTTAAGATAAGCTGAAATAAAACTTGGCATAAGACATCCTGCTGTTCGATGTTAGCAGAATTAACATTCTCCACATTAGTCAAAGGGAGGAGAGAGGGTGGTGTGTTGGAGCTCAGAATACAGCCATGTGGGAGATTCACAATTCCTTTTAGCACACATCATCCTAGCAGGGATTCTGGTGTGAGTAGGGTATTTGGTCACCTGTACCGACCTACATAGAAAAAACAGCCATTGAAACCCTAGAGCTAGATCCTCAGCTGGGAGATAGTAATAATGAGACACAGAACCATGTCCCACAGATCCCCAAATAGTTGTCATCACCACAGCTATCCTGTTGCCAGGTTCCCTGAGCGGAAAGCAGTGGGGAGGTCCGCTACATCAGCACACCCTTCCTAGTTTACTTAGGACCTTTACTCTCAGCAGTATCCTCAACAAGCACGTACAAACGGATCCCAAAGACTTAAAAAACTTCAAAGACTTAAATAAATGTATTCTATGCTCACAAAAGGACCCAAGGTCCCTTCTTATTTAAAAAGATGATGATAAGCAGTGGGAGGAAATCAGGAAATCCCAAGGAGTTGGCTTTTTCTGGACTTCATTCCTTTCTTTTCCCATTCCTGTTCTCCTTGACAGAAGTGGAATTCAAGAGAAAGAATAGAGCAAAAAGATTCCAGAAGTGGGTGGAGTGCACACATAGTTTAGAAATTCAGTGTGAATACTGGGAATGTGGACTGGTATGCTCAGCTGGACTAGATCAGATCAAGGAGATTTTCCAGTTTTATGTAAAAGCAAGTGCAAAAGTTGCCAGCAGGTCTGTACCCTCAGAGAGGTTAGGAGTGAGAATAATGAAACCATTTCCTCCTCCTCTTGCTGTTTCCCACTAACCTCGTAGGACTTCTCTCTCTCGTCCTGTCCTGGGATGCTTGATTGTGAATGAATCATTCATCATCCTCCCTTCAGAGTCATCTGAACAGAAGATTCAGAATCAAGCACAACCAACTGATGCTTAAACATATATATATGAAAATATTTTGAATCTTCTTTTTTGTTTTCTTGTGGGATGATTGATCTGTGTATTTAAACATACCTTTCAGAGTAAAATCCAAACTCCTCCAGTTAGTACACACAGTTGTCTGTAGCCTGACTTTTGCCTGGACCCTCCACCATCTCTTCTGCTCCACCTTTGCCAAGTGTAAGTCGTAAAATGACTCAGACCAGTCCATGGCTTTATGGTCTCGCTCAAACTGTTGTTCCCTTTCTCTAAGTATTCCTTTTTATCTTGTGTTACCTGTTTTCCATTTAAGTACCCATTTCAAGCACCCCATCCCATAGAATGCTCCTGTATAAAACTCCCCACACCTGACATTTTCATCCTTTCTCTGAGGTACCACATCATCTATGTATGTCTCTGTCATTAGGAGTCAATGTACATCACTCAAAAAATGTTTCCTGAAACACCATTCATTCATTCTTCCATTGACATGAGCATTCACTTAATAAATCTGTGTTGAATGTTAGGCATTTAGAGTAGCTGGAACATAGATATAAACACCTGGAAAAATAACCAACAGTAACAGTCATAAAGTTACACCTGATGCAATATTAGAGCTGTAGGTCTTTGACAAAGATTCTATTAGTGTACACCATAGTTAGAGGAAATGGAAATATTTTGTTTGCTAGAGGCCTGGATACTCTGGAACTAAGTATGTAATCCTAAAAGTTGTTTTAATATAAAGCAAAAAGAAAAACAAAATTCGTATATTATCTTTCAGATGCACCCATCATATAGAAGTGAAGGGAGTCCTAATAAATGTGGCACTGTGGGGTTGTCCCTTTAAGGTGACCTGGTCATTTAGTGAAGTGTGTGATTGAGATTTACCTTGTAAATGAGCAAGGTGCCCTGATCATTTTCCAAGTACGTATTATAATGAGAATGAGGAGGAAGAAGGAAAGAAAGGTAGGGGAACCAGGAAGGTAGAAGAGGGCAAGGTTTGGAAGCAAACACAAAGACAGCTCATTATCACATGGAAATTGGGGCTGCTTGGCAATTCATCTGGGAGCTATTGACCCGTATGCATGCTGCCCATAATGTGCCATCATGGGAATGAAGACTCGGCTTTATTTGGGGTCCAGTTACAGGAACATTCCCAAGATTAAGCCCTTGCATTGTGAGACCATTACCTAAGCATTCCTCTCCACAGCGATTCCTGAGAAGCGTTTACCAAAGCAATGACAGGCTTGCTTCCAGGGTTTGTCAGTAAATGAGGTTCAGCCCTTTCCCTTCTGATCTGCTTGTCTTTGTATCTACAGAATGATGCTCAGCATGCCAGGAATTCCAGGGCTTCTCTTCCTTCTCCTCCTCCTGCTCTGTGTTGTTGGGCAAGGGAGTTCCTACGAAGCCTCCTGGAAACCCACTTGGCCTGCTTACCGCCTTCCTGTTGTCCTACCCCAGTCCACACTCAACTTAGCCAAGCCAGACTTTGGGGCAGAAGCCAAATTGGAAGTGTCCTCCTCGTGTGGACCCCAGTGTCACAAAGGAACTCCACTGCCTACATATGAAGAGGCCAAGCAGTACCTGTCTTATGAGACGCTCTATGCCGATGGCAGCCTCACAGAGACCCAAGTGGGCATTTACATCCTCAGTGATGGTAGACGTGGGGCTCAAAACCGAGACTCGGAGTTATCGAGAACGTCTCGGAGGAAGCGACAGATTTATGGCTATGACAGCAGGTTCAGCATTTTTGGGAAGGACTTTCTGCTCAACTACCCTTTCTCAACATCAGTGAAGTTATCTACAGGCTGCACCGGCACCCTGGTGGCAGAGAAACATGTCCTTACAGCTGCACACTGCATACACGATGGAAAAACCTATGTGAAAGGAACTCAGAAACTTCGAGTGGGCTTCCTGAAGTCTAAGTTTAAAGATGGTGGCCGAGAGACTAACACCTCGAGCTCAGCCACACCAGAGAAGATGAAATTTCAATGGATCCGGGTAAAACGCACCCATGTGCCCAAGGGCTGGATCAAGGGCAATGCCAATGATATTGGCATGGATTATGACTATGCCCTCCTGGAACTGAAAAAGCCTCACAAGAGAAAGTTCATGAAGATTGGGGTGAGCCCTCCTGCTAAACAGCTGCCAGGGGGCAGAATCCACTTCTCTGGCTATGACAATGATCGACCAGGCAACTTGGTATATCGCTTCTGTGATGTCAAAGATGAGACCTATGACCTGCTTTACCAGCAGTGCGATGCCCAGCCTGGGGCCAGTGGCTCAGGGGTCTATGTGAGAATGTGGAAGAGACAGCAACAGAAGTGGGAGCGAAAAATTATTGGCATCTTTTCAGGGCACCAGTGGGTGGACATGAATGGTTCTCCACAGGATTTCAATGTGGCTGTTAGAATCACCCCTCTCAAGTATGCCCAGATTTGCTATTGGATTAAAGGAAACTACCTGGATTGTAGGGAAGGATAGTGTTTCTTCCTGGCAGCACTTAATGGTCTTTATGTACTCACTGTAGGAGAGGCCAAGTTTTATCATTGGCATGTGTGTGTGTGTGTGCGCGTGTGCGTGTGCGTGTGCATGTAATATGCCATGACTTCCTTTCTCAAAATGCAGAATGACTAGCTTTATTAAAAATCGGTTTGTGTATCATCACTTAAGCAGTTTGAAAGCATACTTTTGCATAGAATTTTTTAAAATGCTGTTTGGGCAATAGGGATATTTAGCAATTAAGTTAATGTTTCACTGAGAACTTTTGATTTTTTATTTCATCTGATCTTATTTCAAAAGTTTATATTAAATAAGTGGCATACAGGAAATATAAATTCTGTGTGTATGTATGTGATTTCTTAGATTTATATCTTGATTTTTTTTAATGTCTGATTAATAATGCTTCGAGATGGTAGTGGTCATACTATATACAATTTTATAAATTTTCATAAAACTTCTTAGATAGTTGTAACATTCTGGATTGGTAGGCACCTACGTAATGGTCCTTGGGTAATTTATTGGCTATATTAAACTGTATCTCACAGTAAACAAGTAACCCAAACTGCTCTTAATTTTAAAAATAGTCTTATCTTCCAAACACTGTTGTTCTGCTTTGTGGGAAATCTTTCAACATGACTCTGCCAACTTTGCAGTCACACTAGAGCTTACAAGATCATTTTTCCTAATTCTGCCATTTAACAAGAGTTCACTCACATTTCTAGAGCTAGCTATTTTCCAAATGACAGTAATCAGGGCCTAATTAGAACAGCCTGTATTGCTTCCTAGCTAACAGTTGTGGGCACAATAAAAACAAGCACAGCATTTTACCCCTGGAGTGTCACACATCTCATGTTTTATCATTTGGATAGAGTAATTGAAAATGAATCAAATTCCAGAGAACAATGGATGCATTGCTAAGCAGATGTCTCAACAGAATAACCACTTGTTTGAAGCCCGGCACAGTCACACAGCCTAATCAAAATTATTCTGCAGAGTTTTGTGTGTGCTTTCGGAGAGCTGAGTAGTTGTTTGATATGGAAACTTTCTCACTATACTTGTTTTGTAGTAAAAATACTTGGAAATTGCTTTAAGATGTACCAGTATGCCTCTCCCCTCCTGCGCTGTAAAAAGGCACCTTTTTCTGGAATACTTTAGGCTATAGGCACATATGTAATCAGATGCAAGAGTAAAAAATGAAAATTGGGAAATGCAAAATGCGTGAAGATCATGTACTCCAATAAATGCTTTATAAATATGATAATCATAGCATATAAAGAAAAAACTTGAATTTCTTCTATGCTTTTGAGTCGCAGCCTAAACACTTTTTAAGTGTAAAAGTAGACAAAAAGCAGCAAAAGGAATATGAGATAATTTTTGTGTTCTTGTACCCTGGGTAATTTCAGCCTATATTGTGGCTCTGAAGACACTCAAATATAGCAGAGTCACTAAAATATGCTGGTGGCTTGTGATTTTTGAGCTTTTAAAAAGGATAATCTTGATCAGGCACTCAAGACATGTACAACCATGTGCTTTCGTCAATTTGCATAAGAAATACTGCCTATAGTGCAAAGATGCAGAGACACCAGAAATCTTCTGAGTTCACTACAATTTGCTTTGGAATCTAACAGGAATCTTGCCTGAGGAAGAAGAGAGGTCTCCATTTCTAAGTCTGGTATTTGGGGTTTTCTGTTTGCTTTGCCTGATGAAAAAAACCATAACTGATTTTTTGATAGATGTTCCTTTTACAAAACTTGCCCTTTTGACTTTGATTTCTTACAAAGTTAGACAGTGGCACAAAACTCAATATCAATGCTTAGTTCACAGGAAGTTCTAATTTCTAAACTAAAGTTCTAATTTACTAATTTACTAAAGTACCCATGTGCTCTATATAGCATCATTCATAGGCCTGTAAAATTGTAATTTAATGTGTGCCTTTTCTGTGGTAATAGAAGAAAGTATGTTATTTGACTATCATAATTGTGGGGAAAGCACTCATGATATTAATATAACTGGTATTTTACATGTACTAGTTATGTATACTGTAAGCATATATTTCTAGCAAGGAAAGGAAAACAACATTTCTCATGATATATCACACTTGCCCTTCCAAAAATAAAGAGTACTTTCATCAATTAGGGAAGAGATGCCTGTCAATATTCCCTTTTTTTATCAGGGGTTCATATACCTGCTTGCACATTAAAAACTCTAGAAAATTCTGTAGTAAAGAGACTTGTTCATATTTTTAAATCTGTATTTCAATAAATATCTTTGGTCACAAAACCCTTGTTTTCTTCCATAGTATGTATGAGCGGTGTAGACTTCTAATACATTTTAGGGGATGCTGTAACACACTTCAGAGCATGGTGGTGATGCAGAAATATTATGAGTTCAAGTGCTGTGAGGTATCCATGACTGTGGGGCTTAATGAGACCCTATAAGTGGGGTTTGGAAATGTTTACAAAGTTAAAATGTGAACGATAAACCTAAAAATCATTTGTAGGTGCAAATTAGAAGGTTATGGCAGAATTTGAGGCACAATTTTTGCACATAATTTTGAATTTGAGAAACTGGTGTAAAAGGAAAATAGCACTAAAGAGGTAAACATAAGCCAATAAGAGGCAAGCTGTATGTGCATTCTTTCATTACAAAGTTAGACAATAACAAAAGTCAAAAAGAGATTAGAATGCTGAGCTCAAGCTCCTAATTGGTTGTGGAGCTCCAGCAACCTGCTCCCTGGGGGGAACGCCCAGTGATACCTGGATGACATATTTAAGGTAGTGATTTTTTTAAGGTAGTGGATGCCTAACCCTCCCCTGAAAGGATGACTCTCTAGTCTACTGTCCATTGATTGAAGAGTGAATGATAGATGTCTCATGTCCAGCGGGATTCTGACAGTAGTCCTCACTCCCTCCAAGAGGCCTGGGGAGAGACTTGGCCAAGCAGGCCACCAGACAGCACCCCTGCACTGGCCTGGATTTCCTCCTTGCTTTATCTGGGTCTTGTTGCTGTTTGCATCTGTGTCTTCATTTTTGTCATAAACAAAAAAAAAGGATGCCTTGTGTTGATTTCTGTGGATGTTTGATAGGGTAGCCATTTATCATCCAGAATAGGATCTTTTAAAACTTCTTTTTTTTTTTTTTTAATTGAGTTTATTGGTACATTTAGGGATACAGTACAGTTACATTCATTGTTGGGATCATGTACCTTTACATGGCAAGTCTTGATTCTCATTTTTTTCCCCTTACCTCTGCCCTCCCTTCACCCCCTCCTCCCCTCCCCATCTACAAACACTTTATTTTCATCTTTTCATTCTCTCACATTTTTTTCTTTTCCCTTTTTGTTCTTCCCCTACGTATCACACCTTCCCTACACCTTTAGCTCCTTAAAGGGAATAATATAAATGAGGCTGGGGCAGTAGGTCAGGTGTTTCCAGGACAAAGTTTGGTCACCTTGATAGTTAAACCCTTAGAAGAACTGTACAGAATGCAGACTAACCACACTGCAGCTCCCTGCATCTCAGCTCTGGGCTTCCTCATGGTTCCTGTTCCATGCCTTCTTTGCCTGGATCAGTGTTCTGAGGTCCTGCAATAGAGTAAGGGCATTGAAAATCCTCTTGATGGGGACTGGAATACATGGGGGGAAACATGGAGCCATTTCTAGAAGATGCACAACACATCTATTTTTAGTATTTCTCCAGAGGAGGAAATAAGCTTCCAGGACTAAAATGAAGCTGAACGTTGAGCTAGCATACTGGTGCGGGAAAGTGGTGGTCTTGGAGTTGGGAAGAGTGATGCCATAGTTGCCTGGTTCTTTTTGCTAAACCTCAATGAGATTTAATTTAAAATTTTAAACTTCTCATCTGACTTAAACATTCTCCCTCTTCTGGTCCTCTTCTCTAGTGGACTGGATGGGGCAGAGGAAGAGGGAAAGGAGAGTCATCTTGACCTCATTACTGTGATTGTGTCCTCCTATTGGTGGCTGCTGCTTTTTAGATGATATCACCTCTTCTACCTGCCTTATCTCTTATCTGTGGTGGTCTAACCTTTTGGCTCCTGCTGCTTGGGCATCAGATTTACCTAGAAGACAGCCTTCTTGAGTGGAGAGCTAGCAAGATACCTCAAACCCAGCCATCCTCTTCCATACCTGAATAATCTATGAGGAAGTCAGACTTGCTACTTCAGGCTCAGTGAACTAAATAAAGTCCTTAGATCCCTTAGATCCTGTCAGGATGAAATTTGGACTGCTGAAGGGACAGACAGCACCTAATGTGGCCACAGCAGAGTAAACAAGTAAGAGAGGGAGAGGTTAGGAGAGGGAGATGGAGGGGGGGAGGGAGAGAGATTGAATCTGATTCTGACCATTTCATGCAGCAGTTAAGATTTCTGGTAAGGCCTTTGGAATTCCTTCTACTTGCCAGGAGATATGGTCAAAGACTTCAGTGGGAGATCTCATGAGGTCTAATCAGGACCAACAGATCCATGTGATATAGTAGGCCCATAATTTTAGGGATCCACAAAAATGTTTGAATTTCTTTTAAAATCAGAAGGAAAAAAGTGAACTTCTAATAAAATGTTTCAATATGTAATGTTAATATATTTATCTTTATACAGTACAATTATAAAATCTAATTCTTAGTATTTTTAATGATGGAAGTGGCCTAGAAGGCAAAAGGGCCCAGTGCCCATAAAAGTCACAATGCAGCCCCCAAACACACACACACTTCACAGCATCTTTTTGGATGCTAATGAAGAACGGATTTTAGAGGGTAGAAATGGGAAAACTATGAATTCAGGGAAGAAATGTAGGTGAATTTGATGAAGGAAGTAAAGACTATGGTATAGTAGTTATACTCAGTATGCAGCATATGTTTAAAAAGAGAGCCAAATAGGTTATGGTAAAAAGAGGCATCCAGACTGGGGTAGGGGGTGTAGCTTAGTGGTAGAGCACTTGCCAGCATGCATGAGGTTCAATCCCCAATGCTGGGAAATAAAAGTGACTCCTAGGTTTGGAGCCTGAGCATCCAGCTAAAGGCCAGGTACCATTTGCTGAAATTGAAACAAGGAATAGGATTGATATTTCATAAAAACCAATGACTTTTATGTTGGTCGTGTTAGGTTTATAACATCTCATGGACACCTAAATGTCAATGTCAAATAAGCAGTAGAACCTGAAATTCAATAAAAAGTGTCAGTGATCCACGGGTAGATGATATTTAAAGCCACAGAGTGAGATCGTATCACCTAGGGAAAGAAGGTTTCAGAGGAGGGTTGAGGATCCAGCAGTCTACATTTAGAGGTTGGCTTTAGCAGAGGAAGAAGAGGAGGTGAAGACAGCAAGAAATCTGTAAGAAGCAGCCAATAAAGTCCAAGAAAAAAAAACAGGAAAATGTGGTCTCACAAAAGCCAAAAGAAAAAAGAATTTGAAGCCAAGAAGTGGGAGGAAAGAAAAAGAATAAGACAAAACCAGGCTGTTTTAGGGGTTGAGAATGTCTCTCTGGCTATGGGCACATGATGAACAGCGCCTCCCCTTGAACATTTCTAGTGCAGTGAAGGAATGACTAATCAACTGAATCCTCCCACAGAGACCTGGGGCAGCTCATCCCACCCGAAGTGCAAGAACCCAGGGCCAAACCCTTCTTGGAGTGGGGGTTGGGTGTGAGCGCCAGTGAGACCATGAAAAAGAAAAAACAAGGAAAAAACAAAACAAAACTAAAAGAAGCCCAATGATATCCCCTCCTGCCTAGCGTGATGTTTTCTGAGAGGCAGAAAGAGCCGGGTGACTCTTCACTGTGGTATTTGTGTGTATATCAAATGTGTAAAAATACCGAGTGCTCTCTTGGTGCTGATTTATCACTGACCTTGTCTACAGACCACTAAAAGGTCTTAAGGCATTCTCTTCCATAAAGAGAAAGGACAGCTTTGAGAAGAGTCGAGTTCCAATCCAATGAAGCAAGACCAGAAGGCCTCCCTGGCCATCTTCTCTTTGACACCAACCCTCCAGCCCCTGCCTCAAGCAGTTCTGATGCCCTTTCTTGCCTGTCTCTGCCTCGCACTTACCATTGTCTCATACACGTTGTATTACAGTTATTTACATTGTCCTTCTCTGCCACTAGAATGTAATTTCATAAGGGCAATTTTCATTGTTTGCTTCCCATGCTTAGAACAGTGCCTGACACATAGATTTTCCATACATTGTTAATTTTTTCAGTAAATGAATGAACAATCCCAGTGGTTTTATATAACCTGTAAAACCATGACTTGGTATTAATTGGGCTTGGATATTCCTGGAGTCCAAACATATCCCAGAAAAAAACTCATGTGATGCCTTGAATCCCTTCTGTTCTATTCTATTATGTAATGCATTGATATTATTTGTGTGTATCTCTATCCTACTAGCCTGTGAGCATTATGAGAGCATGGGCTGAAGTCTGTTCCTCCTTGCTGTATTGTCTGTCCCATGGTCTAGCACGGAAATGCCCACTGAGGAAATGAATGGATGTCTGTCATGACTTAGCGGCCCAGTGCCTTTTTTATTTACCACATCGCCCATGTAATCAGACAACAAGTTGCTTAGATTCTGTGCTGTCCACCTCTTTCTTTGCAATTCCTCTGCCAATGCTCTGATTTTGTTGTCTTCGCTCTCCTTTAAAATATGTCAGAAGACTCCAAACCGGAATCTGAGTCTTCCAGTTCATCATAGTTGCCCAAGACAAGTTTTGAAGCAAAGTCCTGATCAGGTTCTTTCTCTGCTTCCTGTTTACCAGACTGTCATCACTAGAAAGTAAAGTTTTGTTTTCTTACCCTTGAATCCAAGTCTCACATTTATCCTATATTGCTCTTTGGAGTCATTCAACCTGGCCTCTAACCAAGTTGTTCTGGGGAATCTGTTGCTTTTGTCTTGCTTTGATTTTTGCTTTGTTTTTACAGTGCTGGGAGTTGAACCCAGGGCCTTTGCACTGAGTTATATTTCCACCACATTTTTTATTGAGACTGGATCCCTAAGTTGCTAGTGGCCCAGGCAGGGCTTGAACTTGCTATCCTCCTGCCTCAGCCTCCCAGAGTGCCGGAATTACAGGCATTCACCACTATGCCTGGCTACTTCTGTTCTTTTTAGTTATGTGCTGCCAAAGCAAGCACAACATCTGTTCTTTTAAGTCTCTGTAATTGCCTAAGCTCTCCTTCCCTCTTGAGGTTGCCTTTCCCTATCTCTTCAATATCCAGTTATTTATTAAGCAAATACCACAAGATGAGTGCTGGCCATTCATGCTCATTCCAGAGCTACAGAGATTATGAGGT